GCAAAAAGGTGTACCTTAAAAATATGATGCAAGGTGTATTTTCCTCAAACGTTCGCCTGACTCTCCAGTCAGTTGACGAAGACGTTTGGTAGTCAGCCAGCCATTGCAATGCCTCCTCTTTGCTGCGTAGGTTCACCCTGAGCAGCGCTGTACACATCTCACCACGGTTCATGTTCTCAATTTTTGGGTAAGGGTGTGCTTGATCTAATTCTACAACCAAGTGCTCATACTCTGGAAGGGTGGCCTAAAAACAAAGAGGACAAGTAATGTCATCACCCTCATTTCTTGAAAAACAATAAATGATGTATGTTAGATAAAAATCAGACACCTGAAAAGCACTTCTGAGAACTATTGGGTCCTCGACAATTTAACATTAAAACGATAAATTACAAACATAGGACAAAATTATGCATTGACAGAAAAGTTCATCAGGCAAAGATACTTACTTGAAACTCATTAGTATTAGCATTATTAGAAATGACCACATTCGAGCTACCAGCAGCAGTTGACACCTAACATTCATACAATCAATACATACACTTTAGACAATAATATTTCAGAGTAAAAGGAAGCAATATCATAGCAGTATAACTGAAAATTACTAGATATAAAAATTAAGTTTACAGTGTGAAAAATTAGAAGAGATTTTAGTGCCATAAACAAGAAGGATATATTTGCTTCACAAGTAAAACTTTTTAAAGAAAAGAATGTATCTCACCTGATCGGAGTATTTCCAGAGTCTCCTGACCCTGACTTGACATTACCAATAGGTACATATTTGGGTATGAATTTTATGGAAGACTGCTGAGCAGATGTCTTTAATCCTGTTTGGGCTTATTTTAATATGTAAGTTTACATACCTGTTTTCTACTTTCTTAATTTTCCCGAACGTTCGAAGAAAAGCCGAAGAGGGTCCTTTTCGAACTTTTACCGCAACCTGTCGCGCCAATGCATAACGGCCACCCGAGTATTCCCCTCGGTGCGTCTTTTCTGATCGGAGCGTGCGCCATACCTCCGCGGTCTACCGTAGCCTCGCCGGTAGGGGCCATCCGTGAGCGGTGCACAAGGCTTAGGGTCCGGTACGTTATACAATCTCGCGCGCTCTAGCGCCCTCTAGGCCTCATTGGCATGTCTTTTTTTTTTTTTGCATGTTAAGGCCAAAGTGGTATGTAATGTGTCATAGCTGGTAGTAGTGGCACACACAATGTATGTGTGTGTCATATTCATCAGAACCTCACTCTGCTGCTGTTTAGCTTATTGGGTAATATACAGTTCAGGCAACTAATTGATGAATTACTGTGTGACAAAAGCCGTTGAGAATGCGGTCATACAATCTGTGCAAAATGTCCAAACATAACAAAAATTGTTGAGTTTATCACTCAAACGGTACTTGAAGATCAATGAATTTTACCTCAACTAGATACTGAAGAAAGAGATTCTGTTTTCAACCAAGCTATAGAGTACCGACAATGGACAAGTACTGATAGAATTGAACTGATCACCTGCTCTGCTAAAATTCATGAAGTCATAGAAAAAACTGCTTCTTCTCTAGATAAGGTTATTGTGCATGACTTTATTGCACAAAAACAGTCCAAATATTTTCGAGCTCAAAGAAAATTTTCCCCATGGTAAGTCAATAAATATGATGGATTTTAGCATGAATTATAGCTCAACCCGCGAAATTGGATTGAATATGTTATTAATTTAAACTTATTTACCTCTTAGAAAAACTTAATATAATGTTGTGAAGAAAGTTTGAACAACTCTGTTGTCTGCTGCCAAAAGGCAAGAGGAAGGTATCCCCACTACCAACCTGTAATTACTTCTGCTGCAACTCTGTATAGTCTAGCCTCCACTAAAAATTAAAATTGGGTAGAATAAATACTAATGATAAGTAAATAAAAGTTCTCTGAAATGTCTCTATCAGTAATCGATGGGAAAAGACAGTACTCAGAATGATTTGTTTTGTAACATCACTTTTCGTCTGTTGGTACCACTACGTTGGCCGACTTCGTTCGTGTAGGAGTGTAAAAGGCCATGATTTGTTTACGCCGACTCTCGTATAAATTTCGTCCCATCATGATTTCCAAATTAGTGACTGCTTTTCCGACGATTAGTGTAGAAATTTTGGAGTGTGACAAGAGTTCGAGTTCGAATTGCTGCAATCGTGATCTTATCTGTCCTTGCGATGACGGATGAAGATACTTGGGTCCTAAACCAGACGGACAAGGAGTTCTGTATCAAAATACTATATTGTTCTGGATACAGCTGTCTTGTTCAACGAGGAACTAAACGTCGGAGATAGAGTGTTCTTTTTCTACACCAGAAATTTGCGGCTGGAGGGTACCGTCCGCTTCATTTCCAGTAAGTACTTCTTAACCTCTCACTGAGAGTGGTGAAGTATTGTGTGCACAAGTTCTTGTCAGAATCTTTGTGTCTGTATGATCGCTAGCCGGTTGATGTCCGTGCTCTGCGCTGCTCGTTTCCATCCTCACAACTTTTATTGTGATTTTAACTCCTCAAGTATCGCTATTCTGCGAGCAGTTTTGTTAAATGTCGAAGCACATGTTTTAACCTAACTCCTAACCTAACCCGATCACACTGCCTGTGACTCTTTTCAATCTTATTTATCCCTTTAAACCTCTTCTGCTGTGCTGTTAAACATTGCATTAGTGCCCCCTTTTTATGATTTCATCTTGATGTTTAGAAAGGTCATGGTTTTGATTCATTGCCAAACATTACTTTTGCTACATGGGGATACTGTAGCTAATCGAAGTCTTTATCCCTTTGCAGCTGATTGTGACAAGTGCCCGGCACAAGCAAAGAGGTTAAGAAAAGAACAGAAGAAAAAAGGAGGTATCATTCCATGCAGATCGACCAAGGAAAGAGAAACAGCGTGTGAAAAATATGTGGCTAAAGTCAGAAGACAAGAAGTCTTCCCAGCTTCCCAGTAGCAAGGCGGGAGTAAGTTTTTCGTTGTCTTTGAATTAGACTGGTTTGAAGTTGGCATTAATGCCCTTATTTCTTTCCCCAGATGCTAAGTGCCGCTGCCAAAGCACGCGATAGGGAAATTGGGAAGGACTTACTTAGTGACGATGACAGTCCATCAAGAAGCCACAAGGAGGAAGGGGAAATCAATGATGATAGTGAGATGGACACGACTTTGGTCATGAGTGAGGAAGACGAGGAGGATGACCAGCTTAGTGAAACACCAATTCTTTTGCAGAAAAAGCATTCATCTGGTAAATAATAAATGCAATTACATAATATGGTATTCTTTTCTGCGCAGTTTATAGTCAATTTAATTTCCTTTCCAGTTTCATTCAGTGGCGCTCTTCCTCACAGTTCTACCCCTAAGTCAAAATCGAACTCCTCAATTCTGAAGTCATCAAATTCATCAGCTTCTGGTTGTAATTCATTAAGAATTCCAGTAAGAACTTCGTCCCACATTACAGAGCCAGGTACTTTTTAAAGCCTTAGTGCTACCTATTTTTTAAATGTTTTGTTTTTTGAAAAATCTTTTTTAACATTAATCTGGAATTACTTTTCTAATTTTTACAGTGGAATCCCCTTCCAAATCAAAGAAGAAAAATCCTGACAAGGTGAAGGAAAAGGAGAATGAGCTCCCCAAGAGAATTTTGGTGCCTGTGCAGAACATTAGGCGCACCAACGGCTTCAACATCGAGAAGATGTTTGTGCACAGTTGTGAAAGTGATTTGGTTTGTAGAACTCTCTTGTTCTTTGTTAATTTTAATGTCTTTGACTACATTTGGAGTTGATTCTAATTGAATGACTATGCCTTGGCTGATGGTTCTAACACTGCTACAGCTGTTGCTAGGAGTTTAATGGATGGTGTCTTTACCTTTGAAGCTTTGTCTACCTGTTCAGTTACGGGGCTTCCTCCTAGGGGCAAAGGCAAGCTAGCATATCAAGACCCTTCGAGCATTAAACCCTACTTGTGTCCAAAAGGTGTCAATGCTATTGTGAGTAAGTATTGCGTTCCTTCTGTAGATTATGTACTTTAACGTATTGGGGCAAGTTTTATTTAAAATTCTATTTTCTAGGCCGAGCCATTAAACTACAAAAGTTGAAGCACTTCAGCAAGAAGAATGATGCTTCACAAATTCGAGCAGCAATGGCAATAAGATTAAACAGCTAAAAAAAAGCTGAAATATACAAGTTTAATATGTCTTATATA